GATGATACGTCAAACAATTCTGAAGTAATTTAGTTTAGAAAATAACTTTTATCACTTAAACGAAAGTAAAAAAAAAAAAAAATTAATTTCGATAACATCTGCTTAAATTTTATTAATAATTTTTTATTTAATTTGAAGTCTTAATTTGAAACAATATTGCATTTTTATAAACATTTAGTTTTAATAATTTCTATCGGATGCCAGGTGGGTTTTGTTTCCGTTATTCGTCGTGACGTATGACGTCGAGTCACGTGACTTTTACAATATCGTCTGCTTTTAGATTCGTTATAAGAGTGTGTTAACTTCAGCAGACTATTCCGAGGTTACGACAATGACGAAGTAGCTGTTGTACGTCGGATGTTTTAGGACGAAAAATGTTTCCGAGGAAACTGTTACTGTGATATTTAAGTTAATAGCTAATGGGAAATGGAATGAACAAGGTATTTTTGATCTAATATTTTTTCGTTTCGATGTTCGTCCGTTGATATAGCATTCCAGTATGACGTCACAATAAAATATACTGAACGTGCATGCAATTAGCATACAGTATGAAATCTTTATTATATTAATACATATTATTCTATAAATTGTTTTTAATTTTTCTCCAATACGTTCTCCACTGCAATTATAGACCTATAAATTTCCACTGTCGTCCATCTGTTTGTCTGTCCTTTCTTAATGTCGAAACGGTGTTAGATAGATGAAAGTCGAGACAAGAAGGGGCAGGAGGCCAATTAACTATATACGAACTTCCGCTTTGGGCCAGAAGTCACGTTATTTCAATTCATATTTATCAGATATAAATTGAATTTTGTTTGCTTCTGCAATATCTTATGAAGATAAATTTCATTGTCTTGAAAAATATGTTGTTCTATTTTATATTTGGCTGAATATATTATGACTAACTTATGAGATTTCTAAAATTGTCTAGTTATGATAGCTATTAAAACTTTTTCGAATATAAATATAAGTTGCATCCGTTTCTGGTATCTTATGATCTGACGACAAGGAAATAATTAAAATTAGTAATTATTTTGTTCTCTTCCTCTTTTTCACAACACTATAGTGTTGAGAAAATCCAATTTTCCTAATTTCCTATAAATTCTATGCTTATTCACAAAGGAATATAAATGTAAACTTTTATTTTATCACTCGCTTCTATTTATTTATGGAGCACTTATGAAAATAAAATCCATAGCCAATTGCTAGCTCTTATGATATAACATTCTTCAGATGTATGCTTACACTTTATTTATTTAACTTTATAATAATTTTATTTTCTAAATATAATTAAGAAATTCATTTAAATTAAATAGATATACCAAAATATTTTATGATTTAAAAAAAATATATTAAAATTTATATGTTAATCAATAATTGCTAATGAATTTTAACTTTGTTAAATATTATAATTACTAAATAATTATGTAAGTTTATTAATTCTGAAGTCGATAGAATATATAAATATAATTACACCAGCAGTTTAAAATAAAATTAATATATAAAACTATTTTTATAAATTGAAATTTTATTTTATTTTTTTCCGTAATTATTTATAATTCGTATAGTATTTTTAAAATTTAAATGTCATTTTTTTTATAAAATATTGTCATCAGTACTAATTTAAAATTAAATATATTTGAAACCCAAACTGTTTTAAAAAAACCGAAAAAAATTTTTCTTGGAAAAAATCCAACCTTTATTTCTTTGTGAATTACAGGAGATCGATTCTAAGCTATGTTTCATTTCAATTTTATATTTGAGTATACCAATTTTATTTTTTATTTTATTTTATTTTATTTTTTGTATTAATTCTAGGTACTGTACATGGTTACTTCATTTAGAAATTACTGAATTATATTTTTAGACGTTATATTTTTTTTATATTTTAGTTAGTATTTTATCTATTTGCTAAAAATTTTAGATTAGCAAAAAATCGAAACTAATCATATAAATAAATTATTGTAAGTCATTAATGAAACGTATCTTTATAGAAATCCTACTCCTATTATTATTATTATCATTATAAGTTAAGTTGTTCGTCGAAATTTATGCAAATATAGAAATTGATATAATTAAAACAGAGGTGAAAATTTTTTAAATATTAAATCCATTCCATAGAAATGTAGCAAATAAAATTCCTTAAGTTTGAGAAAAAATGTAACTCCGATCAAAACAATAAATTCAACGTTACATCGCCTTATTTGCCTACTTTGAATTAGAATATTTTGGTTGTCGAAAATGAATCGAGAAGGATCAAAAATTTCAACGTCAAAACCCGGATTCGGTCATAGAAAAGTGGATATTAATTCTTTCAACGGTATATTTGTTGTTGATGTTCTTTCGGCCTTTCATCGTTGATGCATTTTTTTAATTTTGAAATTACGATTAATGATTATTTTTAAATACAGTAATTCTATAAATTGTGTTTTGAATCGTTGTAATATTCCTACATTCCTTATGAAATACTGGCTTAAACTTAGAACACCTAAACTTGAATTACAATGTATTTGCAGTTTATAATATTGAAAAATGCTAATTTATATGTATATTTGAAAATCCAGATAGAGTTGGGCTCCAATTAATCCGGATTGAACGCTTCTCTATACATTTCCTTAAAATATACAGTATTACTTTTCGTTAATGCCAATTATTTTTAGTGTAATTAAGTACAGTTATACAAACGAAAAGAAAGTCGACAATAGCAAAATGAACAAAAATATATTGATATTTTGTTTGATTATATATAATAATTATATATTATA